CGGGTACAGTCGGGGCGTTGACCTAAGGAACCCAAAATAAGGAACGAGGCGCCTTTTTCCATAAGTTAAACTTCGATTCCCCATCGAAAACCGAAGGAAAACCTGAGGCAAGCTGTGAAACACTTACGGAACGCGGAGCCCCTCCCCAACGAAAAGGGTTCCTTCTTCAGGGCCCCGACTGTGCCCCCGAGTCCCCTAACACGGCCAGCCAGCGGACGCAGGACGGCCCCTGCAGCCTGACCTCAACGCTGACCATGCGCTCCCCCGAGGGCCATCCGCGGGCACTGAGGGCCGCCGACACCGCGGCCCCCGCGCCGACGGACGCCGAGTCCCTGAAGGTGACGCCGGATACGACCGCCCTCGTGGTGAAGGAGGCTTCGCTTCAGCCTCGCCTTGTGCAGTCTGCCTCCTCTCCTCCTCCTCCTCCTCCTCCTCCTCCTCCTCCTCCTCCTCCTCCTCCTCCTCCTCCTCCTCCTCCTCCTCCTCCTCCTCCTCTCCTCCTCCTCCTCCTCCTCCTCCTCCTCCTCCTCCTCCTCCTCCTCCTCCTCCCTCCTCCTCCTCCTCCCTCCTCCTCTCCTCCTCCTCCTCCTCCTCCTCCTCCTCCTCCCCTCCTCCTCCTCCTCCTCCCTCCTCCTCCTCTCCTCCTACCCACCCTCCTCCTCAAGCCCCTCTCCCTCCCCATCCTCCGCTCCATCCTCCTCCCCACTCCTCCTCCCCTCCGCCGCCTCATTCGTTGCCTCCAGCTCCTCCGCCACCCGTCGACGTGGCTGTCATCGGGTCGCTCCTCGGGGGGGGGAATCTTCCAGGCGCCCCCCGCCGCCGACTCGGACAGCGGCTCCGGCGACGGCGACGCCCGCGGGTGGAGGGGGGGGGCCCGACTTAGTTGTCGGGGGTTTTCGGCGGCTTTCGGAGATTTTCGGGACCCCTCCAGAAATTCCCCGTCCGATAGCTTCTCGGACGGCGACTCTTCCCAAAATCCCTCCCCAATCACCAGACAGCTCGCCCTTTGGCCCCCCGCCAGCCCCACGCCGAGGAGCGAGCATATATACGGGCCCAACACCGCGCCGGATACGTAACCGTCGGCTGGGCCAACCAAGCGAATGACGCATCGCGTGGCGGCTGGATGCCCGCGCCGAGCACAGCTCTTCTCGGATCCTCCCTCCTCCTCCTCCTCCTCCTCCTCCTCCTCCTCCTCTCTTCCTCCTCCTCCTCCTCCTCCTCCTCCTCCTCCTCCTCCTCCCCCGCTAGCCTAAAACTGCCACCGAAATATCCTCACCCGCTGGCTTAAAACTGCCACCAAAATACCCTCACCCGCTGGCTTAAAACTGCCGCCAAAATATCCTCACCTCACCTGCTGGCTTAAAACTGCCACCGAAATATCCTCACCCGCTGGCTTAAAACTGCCGCCGAAATATCCTCACCCGCTTGCTGAAAACTGCCACCGACGTATCCTCACCCGCTGGCTGAAAACTGCCATCGAAGTATCCTCACCCGCTGGCGTAAACTGCCGCCGAACTATCCTCGACCGCTGACTGAAAACTGCCGCCGAACTATCCTCACCCGCTGGCTTAGAACTGCCACCGAAACACCCTCACCCGCTGGCGCAGAACTGCCACCGAAATATCCCTACCCGCTGGCTTAAAACTGCCACCGAAACATCCTCACCCGCTGGCCCAAAACTGCCACCGAAATATCCTCACCCGCTGGCTGAAAACTGCCACCGAAATATCCTCACCCGCTGGCTTCAAACTGCCATCAAACGGCCTGGCGGTTCAGTTCAGTCTGTCTCTCTACCTCGCGAGAATCAAATTACGGGCTGCGCCCGTAAAATATTCCCATAATTACAATCTGCGTGAGGTGTGCGTCCAACTGAACATTCAGAATCCACCGTAAAATGAGTTGGGGGGGGCCCGTCCGAGAAATGCTCGGACGGTAAATGCCCTGCAGACCCCCAAAACTCCTCCCCCGAAATCGATATACATCCGCCCCGTGACAGGATGGGCTCATGCCAAACGCGGGTGGGGGCGCTTCGCCTGGGCCCCGCGTCCAGTGGCACGAGGTGGCGCCGGCCGCTGCATGGGACAATGGCGACTGCACAGCTGCAGGGTCCACAGCTGGAGTTTCCCCTATGGCGTACGACCTGCGTGAGGGGTGTGCCGAAAGAGGTGCGACGGCGCCATGTGGACACCCCCACGGGGGCAACATTGGGAGCTCCATGTGGAGCACGATCTGCGTGAGGGGTGTGCCGAAGTGGGCGTAGCGACGCCATGTGGACACCCCCACGGGGACCACAGGCGGAGCTCCCCATGGTGTACGACAGTGAAGGGTGTGCCGAAATAGGCGCGGCGGCGCCATGCGGGCACCCCCATTGGAGCAACAGGCGGAGCTCGCAAGGCCTCCCGGTGGGCCTCCCTGGGCCCCAAGTGCTCTCGGAGCAGCATCACCACCAGCAACACCAGCAGCAACGCCAGCCGCAGCAGCACCAGCAGCAACACCAGCACCCACCTCCTTGTCCTCGTCCTCCTCCTCCTCCTCCTGCTCCTGCCCTTTCTTCTCGTCTTCGTCCTCATCCTTGTCATCATCGTGTTTTCCTCGTCCTCGTCGTCGTCGTCCTCCTCCTTCACGTCCTCGTCGTCCTCCTCCCGTCGCCCCCACGCGGGACCCGGAGATGGCCCGAAAAAGTCATCCAGGGCCAACCCGCTGTTCCCATAGATCCCTCAATTCACCCCGGTTGGCCGCTTCGCTTCACTCTATGTGTCTCGTCCTCTCGTCTCCCGTCAGCTCTCATGTTCTCATGGGCAGCGTTTCTGAATGGGCTGGTATGAAGGGGCCCTGGGACACACAAATAAATACACACAAATAAAAGGATTCCCCATATTTTCCCATATTTTCTGGGTTTTTGTCTTCCCCCCCACTTCCCATATTTTCCCATATTTTCTGGGAATCGCAAATTAGTTGTGTCTGTGTGTTTTTTTCCCTCCTGATGGCAGGAATATCCGAGGCGTGGAGGGATAAACGAGAGGGAAGACGAGGACGGAGGGCAGTCCGACAGGCGGGAGAGGGGGCGAGCGTCGAAGCCGGGCGGGGACGAGCAGAGAGGAGGTGCCAGGGGAGAACGAGCAGAAAGGAGAAGCAGAAACGAGGTGCGAACGAGCAGAGAGAAAGAGAAAGAAGGAGGAAGGACGAGAGAGGAAGGATGAGAGAAAGAACAGAAAGGATAAGCAGAAAGGACGAGAGAGGAAGGAGAGGAAGGAGAGGAAGGACGAGAGAAAGGATGAGGAAGGACGAGAGAGGAAGGAGAGGAAGGACGAGAGCAGAAAGGATAAGCAGAAATGAGGTGCGAGCGAGCAGAAAGAAAGAAGATGCCAGGCGAGAACGAACAGGAAGGAGGAAGGACGAGCGAGGAAGGATGAGGGAAGCAAGGGCAGAGTGGCAAAATTGCCAGGGCGCCGCTCACGTTGCAAGCTCGGAAAGCAATTCTTAGAAGATACAGCTTTGCACGCTGCTGAAGACTTGAACGAGAAACTTCCAATGTAACATTGCACGTATGTGCGCCAAAAACATTTCCTTGCAACAAAAACAAACAATGATCGCGTGCAAAAGCACGCGGCTGCACGATTTGAAAACGCGATCACGATCGGCAAATGCAGGTTACGTGCGCTTTATGTGTTGGGGGGCCTATGAATTTCCGGAATGTCCGGGAATTGCTGAATCCTATTTGGGGAATTTCGGGGGGGCCTCCCCCACAACAGGACCTTTCGGGGCGTCCCAAAGTATGTTCCATCTGTTTCTGGGGATCGACGATTAGTTGTGCCTGTGTGTTTTTCCCTCCTGGCACGAGGCGACCCAGACTGCTCCAAGACGGCCCATGAGGCCCCCAAGAGGGCTGCAAGACGAAGCAAGAGAGATCCAAAATGGCCCAAGAGGCATCCGAGACTGCCCACTGCCCAAGAAAGCCCCGAGAAGGCACAAGACAGCCCCAAGAGGGTGAACACGAACCGACAATTCGAGCCTTCCGCCCCAAGAGGGCGCAGGAGGCCCCAAGAGGGCCAAAAGATACATCCAGGAGGCACCCAAGACGGCCCCAAGAGGAAAAATCCATTGACTTCCCATCGTGTTTTCAACGTTTTCGGGATTATCGCCTGTTCGAGCTACTGACGCTCTAAGACTCTTGGGCCCCAAGACTTCCCCGAGACGGCTCAAGAGGCCCCCAAGAGAGCTCCAAGACGGCCTAAGAGGCCAAGAGGACTCCAAGATGGCCCAAGAGGCGCTTAGGACTGCCGAAGAGGGCCCCAAGACGGCCCCAAGAAGGGCCCAAGAGTGGAAAGACGAACCAAGAATTCGAGCCTTCTGCCCCAAGAGGCCCCAGCAGGCCCCCTGCCTTCTCAAACAACTGCCAACTAGAACGCTGCGCTGGCCCGGTGGCGGAATTGCTGGAGGCAGCTGGACACTTCGCTAGGTGGCGGGAGAGGAGGAGGACGCCGTGACTGTGGGGACGCGGGCGGGCGCGACCGGCTCATGGCAGTTAACTCTACCCGCTGGGAAACAAAAGCATGAAAGTGAAGGGGGGGACCGAGGACGAGCAGGAGAACAAGGACGACAACGACGACGACGACGACGACGACGACGACGACGACGACGACGACGACGACGACGACGACGACGACGACGACGACGGGGGCGGCGACGACGGCGGCGGCGGCGACGACGACGACGACCGGGATGGGGACGAGGACCGACGACGACGACGGAAACGACGGAAACGACGACGACGACGACGACGACGACGACGACGACGACGACGACGACGACGACGACGGAAACGACGAGGGCGAGGACGAGGACAACGGGCGGGGACGCCGCCGCCGCCGCCGACGACGGCGACGACGAGGACGAACGCGAGGACGAGGACGCGGACGCGGACGACGCCGCCGCTGCCTTCGGCGAGCACGAGACGACGACGCCGCCGCCGCCGACGACCGAGACAAGGGCCCGCACGCCTCAGCGGGTGCAGCAGGGACTCGGCGTCCCCCTCGCTCACCACGCCAGAGGCGCGCGCCTCGCGGCGGCGGCGGCGCCGCCGCCGTCGCGGTAGTCCACGGCCCTCGTCCTAGCCTAGTATTCAGCTCCGATCCTCCTCCTCCTCCTCCTCCTCCTCCTCCTCCTCCTCCTCCTCGACCAAGCCTGGCGCAAGCCTCCTGCTCCTCCTCCTCCTGCTCCTTCTCCTCCTCCTGCTCCTGCTCCTCCTCATCCCTCCTCCTCCCTCCTCCTCCTGCTCCTCCTCCTTCCTCTTCCTCCTCCTGCTCCTCCTACTCCGGTTCAAAAAGACGGGAAAGGAGATGGAGGAGAAACAGGACTGGCTGAGGCCCAAGCGTGGAGGAACCGTGCCTTCATCCGATGACTCGTCAACACAGTAGCCCCCCTCGTCAGCCTCCACGCCTCTCATTGCATCTTCTTTTCCCCCATGATTCTGTCATTCGGCACGACCGCGCGCCGACGGCACCCTCGAATCGTCCCTACGAGGCCCACTCCTAGGAGGGGCCAGGGCTGGTCGGGGAGTCACGATCCTGCGGTGGTGCTTGAGACCTCCTCGCGCTCTACTTCGGAGGCCCTGAGCCCCAGACACATGTTGGCATCTGATTGAAGGCCGACTTTACTTCCGCTCGGTCCCACCGATCCTATGCGCCGGCCTCCGCCAGCAGGCCTGCCCCCGTTCGACATCCAACGGCCTCCGTCGCGTTCCGCCAGCTGCCGCTGGAGATGCGCAACGAAACAACCACCTCACGTATATTTGGAGCAGATCGTGTGATCGAGCATGCGGGAGACCACAAGGTGGCGTCTGGTGCCAACGGCAGAGAAGTGCCCACGAGCCGAAGCGCGCGAACGTCGCGCGCCCCCCTGGGAGAAGGCGTCGCCGGCTGCGAGAACGCGAAGCCGCGACCACGGCCCAGCGCGCAGCGCAGCGCATCCGCGGGCGCAGCAGTGCGTGGCGCCGCCACTGCGCGCGACAGATCAGACGCTTTATAATGCGAGGCGGGAACTTAGCCATATCCACCGCCTGGGAGCCGACGTCCTGGTGCCCCAGCTGGCGGTGGATTTGGATATATTTCGGCCCCCGGGGGCCCGAATTTGTCCATGTGCACCGCCTGCCGAGGCTCCGAAAACTGGTCCTCCAGGCGGTGGTCATGTATCAATTCCAGCCTCGGATAGAATCGCCCAGCGACTCCCCAATGTTTGCAGAGAACATGTGCTGATCGGGTCCCCGCGCGTATAGCCTTGTGGATGCCACGACAATGGACACCCTAACAGTCCTATCATTGAATTTGGACATGTGTTTTAAAATGTAGGGAACATCGTCCAAACGTGGTTTCAACACGTTTATTACATGATTAAGACATGTTTCTCACATGTTTTAGACATCTGGGAATGATTTGGAAACATGCTTCCTCTCCATTGATCGTCCTCCACAACACTACGCCCGAAAGTTCACACGCTCATAATCGCCCAGCGACTCCCCAGTGTTTGCAGAGAACATGTGCTGGTCGGGGCACCGCGCGTATAGCCACAGCTCCCAACGCGGGCGGATTTGCAGACCTTCGCGACCTCCCGAATACAGGGCCCAATGCCTCACAATCGTGGCAACGGCGCAGGTGTCCAGCCGACAACCACCAGACCCAACACCTCGGAATCAAGACGAATCCTGGCGAAGAACCCAACCATATGCAATTGTGAGCACCGTGTTGTGGCACCGCTTTCGGTGGAGTTCCCCATGGGATGACGAGCCGTGCGAGTGGTGCGCCAAAATGGGGCGGCGCAGCCATGTGAACCATGCAGCTGGGGCCTTCGGCTGATCTCCTTCATGGGGCCACGAACCGTGAGAAGGGTTCGCCGAAATGAGGCGGCGCCGCCATGTGGACCCTACCACTGGGCTTTGTGGGCCCCGGAAACGGCAGGGCTGTTTTTTCACCGTTTCCAGAAAAATGCCCCTTGAAGATGGAAGCGGCAAAAAAACGGCGACCGGAAACGGCAAAGAAACGGCTCCAATTGGAACCGGAGCCGGAACCGGTCAAAAAACGGCGACCGAACCGGTAAAAAAACGGCAAAACGGAACCGGTAAAAAAACGGCCCTGTCGTTTCCAGGGCCCACTAAGCCACTGGGGCCTTCGGTGAAGCACCCGTATAAGGCCACGAGACGTGCGAAGGGTACGTCAAAACGGGGCGGAGCCGCCGTGTGGACCCTGCCGCTGGGGCCTTCGGGGAAGCTCCTCCCTACGGGGCCCCGAACCGTGTGAAGAGTGCGCCCCCATCGGGCGGCGCCGCCATGTGGGCCCTGCCACTGGAGCCTTCGACGGAGCTCCCTTCGGGGATGGACAGACCCCCCTTTAGCAAAACGTGGTTTAGTGAAAACGACCTGAGGCCCAAACCTGGCGGGCGCAAGCCTGGAACATAGCGGCCACGGCGCCCTCTCGAGAACCGAAAACGGACAATTCACTAATCGACGTGTCACTGTTGGGGGTTCTGTCCACCCCCGATCCCTGTGGGGCTACGAACTGTGTGAGGGGTGCGCCAAAAGTGGGCGGCGCCGCCAGGTGGACCCTTCTGCTGGCGCCGTCGGTGGAGCTTCTTGCGGGGGCACGACGCGCTGCACTGGGTGTGCCGAACACACAAACATGCGGAGGGCGGCGGCAGGGATGGGAGGAGGGAGGAGGTCGAGGGGGTAGCGGGAGGAGGGAGAATGCGGGGCGCTGCTTCTTCAAAACGAGGACCCAACACCAGTTGGGAACAAATGCGCCCTGGAACAGCACACGATTCACACGAATATCGAATCTAATTTCTTCAGGGGTGCGTTGGGCAACTGGGCCATTGCCACGATTGCTGTTATCCGTGCCTGCAGCACTTTGAGGCGTGGAGTAATGCCAAGGGCTGCCTGGCAGGGTTTCCTGTAATCTTCTAAGGGCGCCCCTCCGCGGGAAGCGCCCAACCACCTGCAACTCCTATACTCCCGGGGGGTACCTTTGAGGCCATGGCGCCTCCATGGGGCTCTCCAGCGCTTCCAGGACGGCCGAGGCAACCCACCCAGGCCGCCAAGAGGCCTCCAAGACAGTTCAAGATCGCTTCAAGGCGCCCAGATGGCCCCAAGACTACCAAAGAGGCATCAAGTAAGCCCCAAGAGCGCTCCAAGAAGATCCCGAAGAGGGCCCAACGAGGCGAACATCATCTAGTTTCATTGTGCTTTTCAGTGTTTCTTCATATTGTCGCCTTTTCGAGCTTCCGACTCTCCAAGACGGCCCCAGGGGGCCGCAAGACCGCCCCAAGACGGCCCAAGAGGCCCCCAAGAGGGCCCCATGACGGCCGAAAAAGAGCCCCAACACGGCCCAAGAGGCGCCCAAGACAGGCGAAAGGAGCTCCAATAGGGCCCCAAGAAGGGCCCGACAGGGGAACACGAGCGAACAATTCGAGCCATCCGATCGAAGAGGCCCCCAGGAGGCCCCAAGAGGCTTCCAAGAAGCCCCAAGAGGCCCCCACGACTCCCCCAAGAGACCCAAAACGGCCCCAAAGAGGACCCCAGAAGGAGCCCAAGAGGCCTCAAAACTGCCTCCAACAGGCCCCCGGAAAGCCCCCCACGATGTCCCAACGAACATCCAAGAGGCCTATAACCCGCAACCCACGCACGGTGGCGGGACTCGCCGTAGGCAGCTGGATCCGCCGCCCCCTGTCGATTCATCGCAGGGGTGCCTGGCGTGCTGAATCCTCTCGGATTTGGTTTTGGTTCTTTTTCCAAAAGAACTCTCCCAGTGGGCTCCGGCGCGTCCAGCCGGGGCCGCGGAAGGCCCGGAAACGAGCTCAACGACCGCAACAAATCCTCCCTGAAACGGCCGTTTCGCTCGGGACATCCTCAAACAATCGCGAAGATGGCCCAAGATGGCCTCCAAGTCCGCCCAAGATGGTCCAAGACGGCCTCCAAGACGGCCTAAGAGAGTCCAAGACGGCCCAAGACGGCCCAAAAGGCCCCCCAGAGGCTTTTGAGACGGCTCAAGAGGCCTCCAAGAGCTCCTCCAGGAGGGCCCGAAGAGGCCAAAATCATTTATTTTCCTTAGGTGTTCGAAGGATTTTGGAATTTGCTTCTTCTCGGCATTCCGACGGCTCAAGACGGCCCAAGAGGCCCCCTAGATCGCCCAAGAGGCCCCCAAGAGAACCCCATGACGGCCCAAGTGGCCTCCAAGATGGCCCCAAGAGGGCCCCAAGACGGCCCAAGAGGCCTCCAACACGCCCCAGATGGCCTCCAAGACGCCCAAGATGGCCTCCAAGACGGCCCCGAAGCGCCCCAAGAGGGTCCCCCGTTGGCCCCGAAAGGCCCCCAAGACAGCTCCCGATGGCGTCAAAAGTGCCAGGAACCCACCAAGATGGCCGAAGTTGGCTCGAAGCTGGCCCAAGACGGCCCAAGAGGCCCCCAAGAGGGCCTCCAGGAAGGCCAGAAGAGGCCAAAAACATGGATTTCCCTATGGTTGTTACCGGATTTTGGCATTTCCTTCTTTTCGGCCTTCCGACGGCCCGAGACGGCCCAAGAGCCCCCAAAGATCGCCGAAAGATCGCCCCAGAGGCCTCCAAGACGGCCAAGATGACATTCAAGATGCCCACGTGTTCCCCGAAGGCTTTCCAAACCGATTCGGGGAACACATGGTCCGATGGCTTGGCAGGTCTGGCCTCAACGTTCGGCCACATAGGCGCTTCCACAAAGGCAGGGGGCGGCGGTGGTTCGCCGTAGGCGTCTTCGATAATCAACCGCGCGACGCGCGGTAAAATCTCCGCGGCCTCTCGGCGCCCCCGGGAGAAGGGCGGCCCTCCAAAGCAGCACTCCGACGCCACCAATGCTTCGCAACGTGGACTCCCAGAGATCTGGCGTCGTGTTTGCGAGGCATGCCTTAAGCCACAGATTTCTGTGGCGGCTGATGGCGTCAGCAAAGTGTCCCACGACACGGGTCGTTCGGCCGATAGCGCCAGGGCGCCCAGCTCCGCAAAATAATGCACGCGCATATGGAAACTCCTCCAATATTATCGGAGACCAGCTTTCCATCTGCTGAATCGTTCTTTGACGGCCCAGGGGCTCTGTAAGAGCCCCCGGAGGCCGAACACGGCCCCGAACCCGCCCCCGCCCCCCGAGTGCGTGTTTTCACGGCGCGAAGAGTAAATGGGCCCCTGGCCCAGACCTGAGCAGGAACGATAAGGAGGACCACCTCAGGGGGAGGAGGGGGAACACTGACCTTGACTCGGCGATGAGCGGGAACGATGAGGAGGACCACCTCAGGGGGAGGAGGGGGAACATTGACCTTGACTCGGCGATGAGCGGGAACGATGAGGAGGACCACCTCAGGGGGAGGAGGGGGAACATTGACCTCGACTCGGCGATATGGCGCCGATAGAGCGGTGGTAACTACACCTCCGATGGCGGAACCGCACGTTTATGGGTGGGGCGGGTGGGCCATCGGGCCCCCGTCGGCGACGAGTGGACGACTGGGGGCCGACCCCGGAGCCTGCCCCCCCCATCGGTGCCCCCCTGGATGCTTTCGGCGAGGCGCAGCCGCCGAGAGCCAGCGAAAACGCCCGAAGACCTCGAACCTCGAACCTCGAACCTCGAACCTCGAACCGCCGAGAGCCAGCGAAAACGCCCGAAGACCTCGAACCTCGAACCCCTCCCCCCCTGTCGTGGCCCCTGGCTGGGGGTGGCCTGCGCGTGGCCGCCTGCCGCGCGACCTGTGGCGAGGGCAGCGCGCGGCCGCCGAGCCCCCGCAGGGCGGCCCCCCGCCCTCGGCGCCGTGCCGCCCGGGGGGCCCCTCGCCGCGGCCGTGCCGAGGTGCGGGCAGCTGGGCTGGGCCCAGCAGGAAGCCCACACACGAGACGCAGGCGCCCGGCCACGTGCACGAATACCAGAGGGCAGAACATCCACCCCCAGAATAGTCGCCCCGACAAGCGGAGCCGTTTGGTCACACACACACACACACACACACAAGGAAGGAATCGAACAGGGCAGGGCTGTTCAGTAAACGCCCAGGGCAAGCCCAGCAAACGCCGATGGTCGGGTCCGGGTGGTGCTGAGCCTCCCTTGAAATATGCCCCCCCCGGTCGCCATCCCCGTGCCACGACGACGAACGCTCGCGCAGCGCATGCTCTCGAGACCCGCGGGACGCGCGCTCGTGCCTCGCCCCGGGCACCCGGGGCGGCCAAAAAGGCCACGGCCGCAGCGGGGCCACGAGAGCGAGGGCACAGTCGGGGCATTGACCTAAGGAACCCTAACTAAGGAACGAGGCCCCTTTTTCCCATCAGTTAAAGTTCGACATCCTATCGAAAACCGGAGGAACACCTGAGGCAAGCTGTGGAACACTCAAGGAACGCGGAGCCCCTCCCCAACCAGAAGGGTTCCTTCTTCCGGGCCCCGACTGTACGGAGCACGGGCCTCTTCGCCGAGGGCCTGGCGCCCCGTGGAGGAGCACTCCGAGGCGGAGAGCCCACGGCGAACAGAGGCAGAGCGCCCCTCAAAAGCGAGGGCCTGTCCTGATCCCCTGCGGCAGCTGCACGGGGAGGGGCCCGACGGGGGAGCCGAGGACGAGGTGGAGGGCGACGAGGAGGAGGAACACCTCGACGTTAGCATCGCCCCCTTTATACCCACTGCAGGGTCGTCCAGAGAGGCGAGAAATGGTTGCTTCCACGGCGTCATCTGGGGCGCCTCTTCCACAAGCTCGCACAGCTTCGTGGTGTTGGCGATGGTGACGCGGATGCTGAGGAGTGCGTTCCTCAGCGCCAGGATGGAAGCTATGGATCCATGGGCTGCGAATCAACGCGTGAATCCCGCCAGCCATCTGGGCGCAGGCGGTCTAACGATGCCTTTCTTCCCTCTTCCAAGAGCCCCTCTTCCCTTTCGGGGAAGGGCTTCCCTGTTACACCCCCACCCCCAGGCGACCCGCGGCCAACCAGGAATCATGCGGCCCCCCCACCATCCCTGTCAAACATGATCGACCAACGAACCCGGAAAGGGATTTAGAACTGCGAGGAATGGAAACGTCTCAAAGCACATCAATTGGGCGATGATGCTGAAGATATCAATGGAGATGACGCTGTGCCAGGGGCTGAGTTGTACTGCTCTGCGCTGTGCCACACCGCACAATGGCGTACCAGGGGACGCGCCACGGAACGTGCCATTGAACGTGCCAGGGGACGTGCCAGCGATGTGCCAGGGGGACGCGCCACGGAACGTGCCACGGGGACGCGCCACGGAACGTGCCAGGGGACGTGCCAGTTCCGACCCCATTTCTGTAGGCCCTCCGCATCCTCCCACCCACCAGCCAGCGCGCCCCCTCTGCCCGCGCCCCCTCCGCACCCCGCCAGCCGCCAGCCAGCGCGCCCCCTCCGTCCCGACCCTTTTTATTTCGGCGCGGCACTGCCCCCCCCCCGCCCTGACTCATCTATTTCGGCACGGCGCCGCCCCCCCCCATCCCGAACGCCCCCTCTGTATCCCCCCCGCCCGCCAGCCAGCGCGCCCCCTCCGCCCAGACCCCTTTTGTTTCGGCACGGCACCCTTCTCCCCCATCCCGCGCGCCCCTCCGCACCCCCCCACCCGCCAGCCAGCGCGCCCCCTCCGCCCCGACTCATTTATTTTTCGACCTGGACCCCCCCCCATCCCGCGCGCCCCCCTCCGCGTCCCCCACCCACCAGCCCGCGTCCCCAACCCACCAGCCAGCGCGCCCCCTCCGCCCCGACACGTTGATTTCAGCACGGCACCCCATCCCGAGTGCCCCCCCCATCCCGAATGCCCCCCTCCATCGCTCCATCCACCAGCCAGCGCGCCCTCTCCGCCTCCTCCCCCTTCCTTCCTGTGCAAGCGCCATTGCGCGCGTGCCTCTTGTACTTATTGCCCAGAAGGGGGGGCTAAACGTTAGTACCCCCCCTCTTTTCACCGACGCCCTCCACGACAGCCTCAAGAGACCCTCCAGGGCCCCCAAGCAGCCCCCCAAGAAAGCTCCAAGAGAGCCCCAAGAGGGCCTCAAGAGGACCCCAAGACGCCCCAAGAGCCCCAAGAGGACACCAACCCCCCAAAGAGCTTCAAGAGGTCACCAGATGCCCCAAAAGAGCCCCAAGAGACCCTCCAGGGCTCTCAAGAGGCCCCCAAGAGAGCCCCAAAAGAGCCCCAAGAGGGTCCCAAGAGGGCCACAAGACGCCCCAAGAGCCCCAAGAGGACCCCAGAACCCCCCCAACGAGCCTCAAGAGGGCACCACGATGCCTCAAAAGAGCACCAAATGGACCCCAAAACGCCCACCAGAAGCCTCATAGCTACAAGAAGGCCTCCGATGCTCCAAGATACCCCCCAACATGGCTCAACATGATCTTCCCCTCCTCTCTTTGACCGCTCTGTTTCACTATATGCGTCTCAGCGCTCCATTTCGCGTCAGCGCTCGTGGGCAGGGCTTCTGAATGGGCTGGCGGGGATTTGCGAAACGTAAACAGTCGGCCTCGATAATGTTTGCGCGAGGAACACGTGCTCAAGAGCAAGGTCGATTACCTGCGGCATCGCAGATGACAGATTATTCCACATGATGGTGGATCGCAGCTTTGAGTTCTACAGCGCTGTTGCCCAAACCCTTCGGATACAAAACGGTCTTGGCATTGGAATGCGTGCAATTCCTCGGCTCACGCAGCCCAAACCGTCATCCCCATCGCTGGCTCAAGCAACCCCATACCCAACAACTGCCGCATCCAGCGTCAATGACATAACACTCAACGACTGTGCAAGCGAGCACGCCACAATCTCACTGATCAGTCGGACGCCAGCACAGTACGCCATTCGACGATCAGCACCTTTGCCGAACCTACCTGAAATACAACGAGTACCAGCATACAGTAACGCTTTCCCCATGAATAATGGCAAGCTTGCCTTCATGACTTCAAGAGCCGTTTCCTTCGAGACGTTTTTCACTTTCATAGCCCATCAGGGAAAGGTCCTGAAGCAAACGGTGTCCGCATCCCAGAGCTTCCTCCTGCACCAGGCTGAGTCGTTTCGTGACGCTCCTGGAACCAAGGAATGGCCCCTGAAGGCCAGAACAAAAGCACAAAAACTGAGGGTTTACTGAGGACCCCGTCAATCACGGCGATAAACATACAAAGAAGATGAGGACACGATACGATTGCCAAATCAGCACGGCGCGACCCAAACCGGGGACGATGTCTTTCTCTCATAGAGGCAAGCCGAAGCCAAGCTAAAGACAAGTCAAAAACATCTATTACGACACTGTGAGGCTAAGGGCACGCTCAGACCAAGATCGCTACAGAAATCCGCCGACCCTGTCGGTGTGTGGAAGATGTCGTCGTCGCCGTCTTCGTCTTCGTCTTCGTCTTCGTCGTCGTTGTCGTCGTCGTCATCGTCGACGTCGTCGTCGTCGCCGTTCCCCCCCGTTTCCCACGAGGATATTGAGGAAAGTCGGAGGTCAGTCCCTTCTCGTTGCTCCCTTCCCCGCCAGAGGGGGGGGAGGGGGTCCAGGGGGCGGGGGGAGGTGGTGGGAGGGGGGGAGACCCAGGGTCAGAATACCGTCCCGGGGGGTGGTAGGGGGGGCTTATTGCGTTGCTTGACCATGCTTCGAATCGAATGCGCTGCAATTGCGTAGCTCTGCGTTGCAATGATTCGTTTCCTTGCCATATTTTGCTGTTGGTCGCGGCGCTGTTACGTGCTGTGAATTCTCATGTTTGCGTTGCGTTTGTATGAACAGCGTCGCGTTGCAATTCGGCGCCTTGCTTGGCGCGTGCGTAGATGAAGCAATTTGGTTTTCGTTGCTGTGTTTTCGAGCGCACTGCCGTGCAGTGCATTGCATTGCTTCTGGACTTCCATCGAAGAGCTCCACAAAGCTTATGCGATGAATTAGAATGCGTAGCAAGGCAGATTCGGCAGCCAAACGTGCCAGAGGCGCGCCAACATCTCCAGCAACAGGCAAACTCGTCGGAGGTTGGGGGGAAATATCGCAGGGGAACGGAGACCCCCCACCAGGAAATCGATTTCGGTTTCGTGTTCGTGTCGTGCGTGTGGGCGAGGCGAAGCTTCGTGGACGCGCCCGCCGTCGCTAGGCCGATTCGGATGAAAAGTCTGGCCCTCCGGTGGGCGCGCGGTGGCTGGGGGTGTCCCGCCGTGGTGTCTCGTGGTGTCTCGATGGTGTCCCGCAGTGTCTCGCCGTGGGTGCGTGAGAGGAATGATCCCGCCGTCGCTTGTCCGATTCGGATGCAAAAGTCTGGTTCTCTGGTGGGCGCGCGATGGCTGGGGGTGTCCCGCCGTGGTGTCCCGCGGTGTACTATCGTGTTGTCCCGATAAAGTCTCGCGGTGTCTCGCGGTGTCCCGTGGTGTCCCGTGGTGCCCCAGTGGTGCCCCGCGGTGTCCCAATGGTGTCCAATGGTGTCCCGCGGTGTCCCGCGGTGTCCTGCCGTTGTGTCCCGATGGTGTCCAGGTCGATCGTGAGATCGATAACGCCCGAGATGTGGTGAGATCGATAGTTGGATCGATAGTGAGGTCGATAATGGCATCGGTAGTTGCATCGATGGTGTCCCGATCTTACTCAGCAGCGCTACTCAGTGTGAGATCGCTAATGGCGTCGATTGCTCGACCATAGATACTAGACTGGCCGTGAGGTCGATAGTGAGATCGATCGAATTAGACCGACAGCGGTGTCGATCGTGACATCACATCGCGGCGCAATATCGCAAGCACGCGTCGTCGCCAACTCGAGGGCGCGCCACCAGCATCGCCATCATCTCACCCATCGCAGTTGCCAGCAGCTGGATCTTCCCCCTCCCCCAACATTCGTATCACCTTTTAGGTAAATTTAGTTCGCGCGCGCGTGGCGGCCCATGGCGGTCCCTGGACGAAGCATACCCAGGCGGACCCCGGGCAACCCCCGGGCAACTCCCGGGCAACTCCCCGGCAACTCCTGGGCGACTCCCGGGCGGTCAGATTTTCGGTTGGTTTTCGAAGGATTTGGCGGCGGCGCCGCCTTGCCGGCTTCCGCCCAAGACAGCCCAAGAGGCTCCAGAGAACGCCCCAAGTCAGACCAAGAGGCTCCAAGGCCGGCCCCAAAAGCCCGAGAGGGCCCCCCCTCCCACGAGGACCCCAAGAGTGGGAATCCGGACTCCGAACTGACACGTCGGTCCCTTCCCCGAGTGATGGCCCCGAGACCGCCAGCGGGCCCCCAAGAGGCCACACGGAGGACCCTGGAGGCGCAAAAGACCCTCCAAGAGGCCACATGGGGCCTCCTGCAGGAGGTCCCAAAGCCATCGAGAGGCCTCATCCTCATCTTCCCCTCTTCCTCCTCCTCCTCCTCCTCCTCCTCCTCCTCCTCCTCCTCCTCCTCCTCCTCCTCCTCCTCCTCCGCCTCCTCCGTCTCTCTCGCCACGAGCGCACCAGCAGACAAAACCGGTGGTACAGACATGGGCCGGCGGAATGAGCGAAGCGATTCAAAATTCCAGTGCAAAACAAAACGACGCAAAGCAATGCAAAGGAATGCAACTCAAAACATCACAATGCCGTGGAACGAGCTGCAAAACACAAGCACATTGCAACGCAATGCAAACCATTGCACAGCGATGCAGCGTAATGCTTTGCGCCCCCAAGCAACTACAATAATGGAATGCATAGCAGTGCACCGAAAAAGACACCGTTCCACGCAACGAACGTAGCAACGCCAAGCAATGGCGAGCAATGCAAAGAAATGCAAAGCGGCGCAACGGAGTGCAATGCACTGCAACGCAAAACAAATCATTACAACGGACGCAGCGCGACGCGAGGCAAGACAAGCCAATGCAGAGCAGCGTAACGCAGCGCAGCGCAGTGCAAAACAACGCAGAACAGCGAAGTGCAGAACAGAGCCTGCCTTGGTACCCCCCAGGGGGAACATCGGGGGAAGCAGTGCAAAACAACGCAGAACAGCGAAGTGCAGAACAGAGCCTGCCTTGGTACCCCCCAGGGGGAACATCGGGGGAAGGGCCAGTCGCATGATCGTTGAAGCAATCACGAAGCCTGACAGGCCCCCCCGAGCTGCCCCGGGAGGGCCAGGGGAATCTGGCGCAAGACGTCCATGGCTCCATCAATTCTGAGAAAGGTGTTATCCTGCATGCGACCGCCCTCATCCAGTCCACCCTGCGTAACCGCCGTGCCCGATTTGACCGCCAGAATTCTTTTCAAATGCGGCTGGGCCCCATTGCCCAGAGCAGCTTGCATGTAAGCCGAGGCGTGATAGACACCGCACACACACACACACCGCGTGGACAGCACCCGTCAAGCTTGAGAAGAGATGAACCGAGCGCACGGCTCTGGGCCCCGTCTTTGTCTTGGTGACGCCTCCTTCGTGCGCCGCCTCGAAGTCTCAGCCAGAGCGCATCTCGGGAGAGGCCCAGGGGGGGGTACAGTCGGGGCCTTGACCTAAGGAACCCTAAATAAGGAGCAAGGCCCCTTGTTCCAATAAGTTAAGTTCTGATTTCGCATGGAAAACGAAAGGAACACCCAAGGCAAACTGTACAACTATCAAGGAACACCGAGCCCCTCCCCAACGAAAAGGGTTCCTTCTTCAGGGCCCCGACTGTGTTGCCCAGACCTCCACACCGCGTTGAACAAAAATCAGGGCGAACGCTGCCTCCACCTTCCTCCCAGCCTGTCCGGAGGCCGCGTCCGGGCGCGTCGGGGCCACCCGATCCCCCAGGTATAGAGGTCGAGAGCCCGGGGGCACCTGCCACGAAGAGATCGTCACGTCGGAGGGGACGGATGCTTCCACGGCCTCCGTGCCCCCCGCACGGCATGTACAGTCGGGGCGTTGACCTAAGGAACCCTAAATAAGGAACGAGGCCCCTTTTTTCCAGAAGTTCAACTTCGATTTCCTATCGAAAGCCTAAGGAAAATCCAAGGCAAGCTGCGAAACACTTAGGGAACACGGAGCCCCTCCCCAACGAAAAGGGTTCCTTCTTCAGGGCCCCGACTGTACGCAACGACCCCTGGGGCAAAGCCGAAGCGGGGAATGGCAAGGGGGTGCTGCCGGGCGCTGCTGCTTCTGAGCTCTTGGCAGTGCGGCCAGGGCCGCGAGGTCAGACACGTGCCCGTGGAATGCCATGGGCATCAGAAGGTGCAAAGAGAGGGAGAAGCCTTCGGGTAGAGGCAGCAACCGTGGACGACAGATTGAAATGCACTCACACTACTAGTGGCGGGAAGCACACTCACACACACAAACACACACACACACACACACACGCACACACACACAAACACAAACACACACACTCACACATTTGTCTGGCGTCGCGGCCACGCGCGCGGCGGCGCGGCGTGGGCACTCCAGCGGGAGAACGCGCGCGGCTGGGCCGGATCACGCGGCGCGGGGACCACGGATCCAGCCATAGGGGATCGACCAGGTCATTCGCGGTGGGCCGCGAGGGGAGGGGGCAAGGGGGAGAGGGGGAGAGCGGCGGCAAGTGGAGGTGTGCGGCGCAAGAAGCAAGAAGGGCGCAGCGTGAAACAAGTGCGGAGGGGGCGACAGCACCGTGGCAGGAACACAAGCACAAACGCACACACACACACACACACAAACGCACACACACACACACAAACACACACACAAACACATACACACACGCACACTTTTTGATCCGCGGATCGAGAGCGCACCTCTTCCGGTCAAAGCTAAGCGGGCCGCGCACAGCTCGAATTAGCGAGAGGGGCGCAGAAGGAGGGGCCTCACATCAAGGCCAGGAGGGGGCAAAGCCCCGGAATCAGGCGGTGCCGAGGACGATGTGCTTGCAAAGGAACGCCTTGAACAGGAACCCGGCGGCGAAGTACCGGAAGGAGCAAAATGCTGTGGTGGTGGTGCCGTCAACGGCGCGTCGTACACCAGCCTACACACACGCACACACACACACACACACACACACTTGTTGGCGTCGCGGCCACGCGCGCGGCAGCGCGGCGTACAAAGTCAAGCGAAGAGTCGAGCGCTGCTGGCCCGTGTCAAGCGGCACGGGGACCCTGGACCCGCCCATAGGGGATCAACAGCGCCACTCGCGGGGGGCTACGCGAGGTGAAGAGGGGCGACGGAGAGAACAAAGAGCACGCAGGGAGAAGGGGAGAAGCAAAGCAGCACAGTGCAGAAGAAAGGGAGGGGCGCAGCGACGGTCAGTGGCGAGCAGCGATGGCGGGGCGAACGAGCAGACAGATGCGGCCCTGGAGAAAGGAAGACACACGCGCACATACACACACGCACAAACACACACGCACACACACACACACTCACACACACACTCACACAAACACACACACACAACACACACGCACACACATTCAGCCGCACTCACCGGCCGCACATGCAGATGCCACGCGCTGAATATACGTCCGGACCGCTGCATTGCCCAGCAACTCGGGGGCTGAACGCTGGACGGAAATGCGGCCACGCTTGCATCCAGCTGTCGCCGACGCCAGCCACGTCTGCAACCAGACCTGCGACGGATTGATCTTTCGATCCGAGGGCCCACGAGGTGTCGACCCCTTCCCTGGAGGCAACTTCTGGGCCCGGGGCCAGAGAACAGCCCCCAGAGGCCGAAACAGGCCAAGAACTGCGAGATTGAAATACCTAGACCGCCAGACGTCCGGGTACCCAGCTCCACGTCCGGCGCGGCCGAGCCGGCGGCTTGATCTCGCTGTGCACAAGCCGGGAATGGCTGTAGGCGATGAAGCACGCCCTGAGGCCCGGGGCGGGCGCTGGTGCCACCCGCTTCCCCCAGCGCCCGGGCCTCCAGAGCCGCCCGACCCCCGACGCTGGCGCAAACGTCGCGCCACGCCCGCGCCGTCTCTTCGCGGGCTCCACCACCACCTCCATCCCGCTTCCTCATGAATGAGTCCTCCTCGTCGTTACGTCTCGGTGCTGGTAGGGCGGGCCCGGCGTTTCGCCCCACCGCTGGTGAGGGCGGACTGGAGGCCGGGTCGCTTTCAAAATGTGACTCTCGCCTTCAGCGCCGCCCACTTGGTCTTGAGAGGCTCCCCGACGGCTGCATCTATGGAGGGCGGGTGGTTTCACAGTGTGGCTCTCGCCTGGGCGCCGCGCACATTCGTCTTAAAAGCCCCAACACCTGTAACCAGTTCGCAAAGTGTGGCTCTCGCCTCGGCGCCACGCGCACACGCCAAAAGCTCCCGATTGCCGCAAGTAAGGTCGCTCCGTTTGCAGACTTCGGCTATCGCTTTAATTTCTTCAACATTGCATGACTAGAAGTGTAACACGGCTCAGTCGCTACAAGATACACATATGGAGGAATATTGTGTATTGAAATGTGGCGCCATCGGAATGTTTGACCATACTTGTATTGTGGATGCCACGACACTGGACACCCTGACAATCCGATCATTGAATTTAAAATGTGTTTAAGATGTCGGAGACATGTTCTAAACATGTGTTGAAAACGTTTTACATGTTTCACACACGGTTAACACATGTTTTAGACAAAGTAATTGGCAACATGCTTTCTTTCCATGGATCGTCCTCCACATTACTTTTAAGAAGGTACAACACGTGCAAGGACGGAGAGCGACTCCTTCTTCGCAGTGTGGCTGGACGACGTTGAACACGTATCTGAACTGTGTGGTCCTGGCTCGTCGCACACTCCTCATCAATTTGTGGATGCCGCGACAATGGACACCCTAACCGTCCGATCTGACATCTGAAAATGATTTGGCAACATGCTTCCTCTCCATTCTTCGTCCTCCACAATCCTAGCTCGTCGCACACTCCTCATAGATAGAATGGCGCTTCGCGACTCCTCTTCAAAGCAGAACTCTCGTCTGGATGGCAGATCCAGGGTGTGCTTCCCGCAGTGAACAAGAATGCCTGCAGGGACTGGTGGGTGGGGGGGGCCTTGGGACGGGAGGGTGTACAGTAATGCAACGTCGCCTAATGACGCAGCCTGGGATTACTCCCCGAATGCCCCGTCCGCCCCACCCCTTTCCCCTCCCCCTGCCCCTCTCCTCACCCAGCTCCTTGCGCAGAAGCAGCTACACCGATCCTCACTCCGAACGGCTTCCCATTGCGCAGAACAGCGCATGTCTACACTCCTACTCACCCTCCCTCCCTGCGCAACAACAGCCCCAGGAGGTCGCGCCCGGCTCTCGCCCTGGCCCCATCCGGCTCGCTTCCCTTGGCCCAAGAGCCCCTCATTGTCTGGCACAAATGTGTTCTAGAGCTTCAGCTCGGATTTCTGTATCTTCGTCGTGGTCGTGGCTCGTCCCCAACCTGCCCTCCCTTTCCTCCTGCCTTCTGGGCCGCGGACCCGGTCCCCGCCCTGGCCTCCAAGGCGCCTTTACAATTACACGTTATGAAGACTACGCCCTGACATGTCTTACCTCTGTTCGGGTAGAAACCCCGCCCTCTCCGCGCATTGATTTTACAAAAGAGCATTGTATACATTGGTGTTTGTTGTGTGCGTGTGCTTCCATCCCATCGTGATCCCGCAGCAGCGCTGGCTTCATTTCCTCGATTCTGGCCCTTCAAGATTGCATTCCCGCTGCAACGCTGGTCTCGTTTCCGCGTTTCGGTCCTCCCGAACGGTGCTCCCGATGCACAGCCGGCCTCAATTCCGCGTTTTCGGTCATTCCGAATGTTGTTCCCGCTGCAGCACCGGCCTCATATCCAAATTGTTGGTCCTCTGGCTGCACCGATCACGCAGCCATGGTGTGCAAGTCAATGCTATGTTATGTGCGGCTGTCATGCGACTAGTGAGTTCATCTGCAATGCTGTGAAATGCAACGCTGGGCTTCGCAGCGCCGTGCCATGCAACGGCATGCCATGCAATGCGATGTTATGCACAGCGATGCCATGTCATGCCTTTGGCTGCAATTCTCTGATACGCAACGGTTGACTACGCAATGCCATCCCATGTTGTGCATCGCGTACCATTTGGGCATCGATGACCTCTTCGACATCCGACTGTGTGAATGGAGAGGGGCTCTACGCAATGGTAAGGGATAGGAAGGGCAGGGCGTAAGATATGACGCGAGCGCACCAGCCTTGATATGAGTACGACTCTCCTCTCTCCCTCGGAGATGGCCAGGGAGGGCCCGCCCCCTCCACATATTGTTTTTACACATAGGAGTTCACACGAGTTGCTTGCTATGGTTGATCGTTGAAGCGTCTTCGGTGTCTCAGAGTAGCGCTGCCGCTGCAGTGTAGGCCTCATTTGGGAATCGGCGCTTTGCCCCCGTCGCTCAGAATAGCGCCCTCGCCCCCGCGCCGGCCACTGTTTTCTGAATCCGAGTCTGCCTTCATCGTTGTCGCCCCCCTCCTTTCCACTCCTCCGTCTGCCCTTGGTTATCCTGCTCCTCCGCCCCTTCAGCTCCAGCTCCTGCTGCTGCTGTTCGTCCTCGTTCACCTCCTTCCTTCTCCTCCTGCTCCCCCTGCTTATCCTCCTGTACATCCGCCACCTCCTCCTCCAATGTACGCAGCTCCCCTTTGCCGACTGTGCACAACACGGTGGCCCCCCTTTTCGAGTTCCAGGTCCGCTGTGACACGCGCCGGCGGATGGAGAAGGCATCAGCGCAATGGAAAGGGATGGGTGGGATGTCGGAGATGGCGTGAAAGCACCCAGCTTGACCCTCCCCCCATCTCCCTCCCTCTGGGCCGCGAAAGTTGTCGTCCTTCCCGATGGGCTCTCTGGCCTTTCCTCTCCAGGCCGCGGAACCCACCCCTGGCCTCCCTGGCATCCCCCCGAGGGCCGCGGACGCCATCTACTTTCGTTGTGGTCGTGGTTTGCCCCTTCCCCATGGCATCCCTGGCCTCCTCCCTTCTGGGCCGCAGACCCCCCCTGGCCTCCTTTCTTTTGTCGTGGTCGTGGTTCGTTCTCGGAGCACCCTCCCCCCCTAGCCCTGCCTGCGCACAAAGGGTGGCGCCAGAGGGGGGGCTTCCGATAAGGCAGGGGGCTCCTCAGAAAGCGGCGGCCGCCCCAGAAGGACCCAAAGGCCGCTTCGGGGGGACAGGAAGATACTGATACTGCTACCCCCCAGACCTCTCTCGGGGTGCGCTCTGACCAGAGTTTCGAAGCGGATCCGACAGTGGCGACGAGGGACAGGCGAGAAGGGGCGGGTGACTGGGACTTGGACTTGGGGGTGGGGACTTTGAGTCACTTGGGAAGGATGGGGAGGGAGGGCTCGCCCGTTCCAAAATCCCTATCCCCCCTGGCGTAGTACGTGCGACGCCAGGTGGAGGGGCCGTCCACCCGCCACCCCACCACAGTGGGGGTGCGAAGTCCCTGTCGAAGGGTGGGCACCGAGGGGCACCACGAGCCTCTCAAGCACCAACGGTGGGCACCGCAGGCCCACTTTGACCGACGGAGGCACACCAGATGACATCCACCCTGTACGGCATCATTCAACTTCGTTGGCCTTTTTTTAACTTGATACCGAGTGCGGAGGAGGAGGAGGAGGAGGAGGAGGAGGAGGAGGAGGAGGAGCAGGAGGAGAAGGAGGAGGCGGAGGAGGAGGAGGAGAAGGAGGATGAGAAGGAACCGAAGGAGGAGGGAGGAGGGAGGAGGAGGAGGAGGAGGAGGAGGAGGAGGAGGAGGACGACGAGAAGGAGGAGGAGGAGGAGGAGAAGAGGGGGGGAGGAGGAGGCCATTTCTGTCCCGGAAGCCGCGGGGGAAAAATGTTCGAGGCCCCGCGCCGTCTGAGAGGCCCCCGCCGTCTCAGGGGGGCCGGCCCTCTCGCGCACGCGCCCCCTCGTGCTCGCCGCCAGCCCCCGCCCGGCCTGCGGACCTCCGTCATGGACTCCGCCATGCACCTCGGCGCCGGCGCGAGATCGGCACCCCCCGAGGCGGGAGGGGGAGGGCGGACGCTGGCATGGCACCCAGTGCGTCCTCTCCCCTGTCGCCTCGTCGTTCGTTCCCCCCTCTGTGCTCGTGTCCTCGCCGTCATCGACGACGCCTCCAAAAGAGCCAGGGGGCACGGTGTTCACTGATTGGGGCTGTGACCAGTGAATGTGACTGCTCCACGGAACAGTGGTGCCTCGACCGGTGAGTGTGAATGCGACCGAGATGCGGAAAACCCCGCCCCGACGAGTGGCTGAACAGAGACTTCGAGGAAATCACACACGCTGAGCCTAAGACCGAGGCGGCCTGTACAGAGATGAGCGGAGGGGGAGGAGGAGGAGGAGGAGGAGGAGGAGGAGGAGGAGGAGGAGGAGGAGGAGGAGGAGGAGGAGGAGGAGGAGGAGGCGGCGGAGGAGGAGGAGGGGGTGGATTGGTGGTGGTGGCGGTGGACCGCGTCATGGCAGCCAGCGCGTGCTCACGACACAACCCTGACAACCCTGAACAAATACCTCGAGGGAATCACACAGTTAGAACGTGAATCCGGGGCGGCCTGCCCAGGTTGGGGGGCGCCCACAAGAGGGTAGCGCAAGGAGGATGGGCATCTGAGGCGGGAGGGCTTCTTTAAAAGCAAGGGCCTTTTGAAAATCACCAGCCAACCATCCCTGGTAACATATTGCAGGCTTTGAAAAGAATAGACGAGGGGCTGGAGAGAGAGCCGCATGTTGCAAACGTGTCAGCCCCAAAACTGCGAAACTGGTTGAAGCTTTTCGGATAATCTTGCGCGGCGCTGAGGTTTTACAGCAAATACGCGCGGCGCTAAGCTGAGAAGCCTCCAGGGCCTTCTGGGAAGCCCCGCCGCCATCTCTGAAGCCCACCCCCTCCCTTCCCCCCCTTGTGTGCGCCTCCAATCAAGCAGACAGAGGGGGGAGGAGGGAGGAGGAGGAGGGAGGAGGAGGAGGAG